TAAAAGCCTACGTGTACACGGACACACAGGCTTCTATGGAGTTGAGTTTAGGAGCTTTGGCAAAAAAAAAATGCCAAAAGCTCCTAAACTCGAGTTTAGGAGCTGCTCGTGTACATGAAGCCTTTGAGAAATTTACCATCACTTCCTGTCCTGGTGACAATGGTTTCATGAGACAGGAAGTGAGAAACAAAATCTAAAAATGGGATAGAGATGCAAAAATAAACCTGACAGCAGGGGGTCCGCTCTGCTAAAAGCATTTTCATCTCTGTGCTGATGGAGAGTTCCCTTCACTTCCTGTTTGATGAAACAGAACAGGAAATGAGGGGAGATCTCTTTTCTTTAACAAAAACACAGATATGTGTTTTTTTTTTTTTTTTTTTATACTGCTAATATGGATTCACTCCTTCCCTGTATTCAAAACTAAGAAAAAAATGTTTTGGCTGGACATAAGCTTTAGCTCCCCAATGATCAGTCCTTTATGGATTTCAAACTGAACTCAGGGAAAAGTAAAAGTCCTCCTCGCAGCAGGGCTTGGTCCACACTACAAGCATTAAAGTAGGACAAAACTTTTTCTTTTTTTCATTTTGCAAATAGTGAGGAAAGGCTATAACCCCTGTCAGTTTATTTTTTGCCATCTGTGTCCCATTGCTGAGATTTCCCTTCACTTCCTGTCCCATAGCCAAAACAGGAAGTGAGAAAATCTCTCAAATTAGGGAGTTCCTTGGGAAACCCCAGGTCACCAGAACCAGTGTCCCCATTGAAAAATTTCCACTCCATTACTTTTCTGGGGACAACTCAAAATGTGGGACTTTCTTTTACTTTCAGTGATGATGGTAAACATGACAGAGGGTGAATCGTCCTTACAGGGGCACAGACTGTAATAAAAACATGACAGGGGTTCTAGTCCCTCTCCATTCTATCCCAAACGGAAAAAAAAAAAGTTTTGCCTTTAGTTATGCGTTAACTGCTCATTTATGTCAAGGGGACCGAGTAAAGCAGTTTTACTTACCTGATCCTCTGCTCCTGCAGGCTCTTACATGCTGATAGGCCAGTCCTGCAGCCTTTTCTCTTTTTTTTTTCCGGCCGTCTGATGCCCTCTGAATCATCAGGAACCATGCAGTGACTAAAGCCCTGCATTGGATGTGAGGTTCCTGAGAGACAGTCCACTGCCAAGAGCGGAGGGTCAGGTAAGTAAAAGTGCTTTTACCGTCCCCCAGATTAAATGAGCAGGCTGAAACTGGAAGTGATAAAACACATTCCTTTCAGGTTCTTACTAGTGGGGGGATATTAGCAAATGGAAGTTCATTGCCCCCCATGCACCTATACCCAGCGACACCGGTCCTGGGCCCACATGTAGGACAGCAGAGCCTGAGAAACATGGGGCCACACCCTTTTGGGGCATCCGTAGAAGTGATGGATCCACTTCCATCTGTGGTTTACATGGACCACCTAGCATTGGAACTATATGTTTTCATATTAAACGTATGTATTCTAAGTAATGTGGACATACCAGGTATCTACTACCCCTCACAGAGATCAAAAAACTCCTCCTTACAATGCTTACATCCTTTTTTTTTTTTTTTTTTTTTTTTATTTTTTTTTTTTTTTGTCCTCTCCATCTTTGTTCAGGCATCATCCAGGGTCACCATATACTTCCTGGACTGAGATGTTCAGTCACGATCATAAAAATCCTGGTGCCCATACTGTTCTTTGTGTGTTCACAAATGTCTGAGACATATCAGCCCCAGCTGCAACCTCTCACCTTGTTGCTTAATACAAAGTTACAACGTGGCAGTCTGGTCACTTCCGGAGAGTAGACTGAGGACATTTTTCCTCCTGCCTGTAGCAAACTGATGACATCATCCTGGCCTAGGCAAAGTCACTAGACTGTAGATCAAGGATGGCTTTTTTAATGATGAAAGGTGGAACTTTCTTGAAAAATTATACTGCTGCTGTATAGTATGATTTTTAGAAATTTTTCATGCAAGCTGGTTAACAAAAGGTCTGTTTTCATAGAGTCCCCTCCCTCTTAGATTGTAAGCTCCCAGGATCAGGACCCCCCTAACCCTTTTGTATTGAACTGTATTGTTGCTGTATTGTCTCCCGTTATATTGTAAAGTGCTGAGCAAACTGTTGGCGCCATATAAATCCTGTATAATAATAATAGAGCTAATCTCACGAGTGCAATAAAACGGTGGGAAAAAAATAGTTTTATCAGGCTCAGTGCATCTACAAGAATGAGAGCCCACTCAGCCAAGAGAACATTTGTGAGGTCAGGTACTGATGTTGGATGAAAAGACCAGGCTCGCAATCGGCATTGCAATTCAACCCAAATATGTTCAGAAGGGTTGAGGTCAAGACTTTGTGCAGGACGCTCGAGTTCCACCACACCAAATTCATCAAATCGTGTCTTTGTGGAGATGTTGGATGAGAAGACTTGGTTTGTTCCAGTTCCTCCCAAAGGTGTTCAGTAGGGTTGAGGTCAGTACTTTGTGCAGGACACTAGTTTCCCCTCAACAAACTCCTCAAACCATGTCTTTATGGTGATGTTGGGTGAGAAGATTTGGTTTGTTCCAGTTCATCCCAAAGGTGTTCAGTAGGGTTGAAGTCAGGACTTTGTGCACGACACTAGTTCTTCCACACCAAACTCCTCACCCAGCATCACCATAAAGACATGGTTTGAGGAGTTTGTTGTGGAGGAACTAGTGTCCTGAACAAAGTCCTGACTTCAACCCTGCTGAACACCTTTGGGATGAACTGGAACAAGCCAAATCTTCTCACCCAACATCACCATAAAGACATGGTTTGAGAAGATTTGGCTTGTTCCAGTTCATCCCAAAGATGTTCAGTAGGGTTGAAGTCAGGACTTTGTGCAGGACACTAGTTCCTCCACAACAAACTCCTCAAACCATGTCTTTGAGATGTTAGATTAGAAGACTTGATTTGTTCCAGTTCAACACAAAGGTAATCGGTAGGATTACGGTCAGGAAATTCATCAAATCGTGTCTTTGTGGAGATGTTGGATGAGAAGACTTGGTTTGTTCCAGTTCCTCCCAAAGGTGTTCAGTAGGGTTGAGGTCAGTACTTTGTGCAGGACACTAGTTTCCCCTCAACAAACTCCTCAAACCATGTCTTTATGATGATGTTGGGTGAGAAGATTTGGCTTGTTCCAGTTCATCCCAAAGGTGTTCAGTAGGGTTGAAGTCAGGACTTTGTGCAGGACACTAGTTCCTCCACAACAAACTCCTCAAACCATGTCTTTGAGATGTTAGATTAGAAGACTTGACTTGTTCCAGTTCAACCCAAAGGTAATCAGTAGGATTACGGTCAGGACTTTGTGCAGGACACTGAAGTTACTCCACACCAAAATCATCAAACTATGTCTTTATTGGACTGGCTTTGTACACAGGGATACATTCATGCTGGAACAGAAAAGGGCCTTCACTAAACTGTTAGCACAAGGTTTGAAGGACCCAATTGTGTACAGTGTCTCTGTACTCTGTTGTGATAACAGTACCCTTCACTGGAGACACCTGAACTCAGTTTTCAGAGGGTCTACATCTGCATTGGCCATTCAGGGGAGCGTATCATATTTCTTAACAAAATATGTATCTCGTTGTTCCGTTATCAGTACAGTAAAAACCAACAGTTACAAATGACGTCAAATCAGCATTTTTCTCAGTAAAGATTGCGGCTTCTAATTCTGGTGACAGAACCCCTGAATGAAGCCCCCTGCAGCCCTTTCTCTAGAGTCCTGTATGCAGGAATCATTCAGCGGCCTTTCATCTCCTGTGTTCTGAGGCCTGTGATTTCGATTACAATAATGAGGGCTTTATTCCCCGCTCTCCGCCCCCCTTCTTGCTCTTTTTCGACTCCCCCCTACACAGGGTGAACTTTTTGTCATTCAGCCCGGGTCTCCTTTCCAAGTGGGTCTGCATGAGTACAGCCCGGTTCTTGGCTGCCGTAGTGTGAGAGAGAGCGGCCCCGCAGGCTTTGTACACACTGCAGCTTTCCCCAGCATTGACCTTTTCCTGGAAGCAAGGCATCGTGTGATACAACAAGGCACCGGGAATGCGCAGCCCTCTATAGCGCCTCTCATGCATGACACAGACTTGTAGCATCTGGTACAATTCAATAAAACCGGTTTGCCCGGTTTCTACTCTTGTTTGCGAGACACATCATCTGCGTTCTCCTCGGCGTGGCGAAGATTGGTGCAGAGTAACTGTGCTGAGGTGGCCTCTAATTGGTCATTACCTCGTATTCGTCTTTATTAGTTTGCGTAGTGATGTTCTTTATAATCTTATCTAGTTTACCTGCCCTGTAATTTAGTGTGAGGACACCAACCGCCCCTACCAGGTTCCATTCGGGTTACTGTCTTTGCAGTAATACACACGGGTGAAACCTTTCATTCTATACAATACTACTTCTTCTTCTGTACGGTACTCTGTAATCAGTAACACAAACAGATGAGCAAATGTTTGAAGCACTACCTCTCCCATAAAGTGTATTTATCTAAAGCCATTTTTTTATTGTTTTTAATGGAGGAAATGTCTGGAGGAAAGAATGGAAAGGGGAGACGTGATTGAAACTTTGAAATACATAAAGCGAATGAATAAGGTTCAGGAGGGCAGGATTTTCAATATGAGGCTAAGGCAGGCTATACGTGATGTGATTTTCTTTCCTGCAACCATGGGTTGCAGGAAAGAAAATCACTTGATTTCCCCATCAACACAACCCTCCCATGGAGCCGTCTTGTTCTCCAGGTGGGGAAGAGCCATTTCCACTGGGAGAACACAGTGATTACTAACCGATAGCAATAGTCGCGTGATGATGTCACACCCCTGGGGTGGGGCTTATCTTTTTAAACTTTTTATAATATACCAGCGGAAATCTTTTCTGTGTATTGCATGTGATTGTTACTTTTGTTGCCTTTTTTTTTTTTGTTTTTTTTTCTTTTTGCTTGAGATATACTCAGTGTGTTTTTTTTATGTTTTCTTGCAGCCCACAACCCTTCCTCAGGGGACCATCAACATGAACCAGTGCACAGACGTTATAGACGCAGAGAGCCGCACTGGTCAGAAGTACTCTCTCTGCATCCTCACCCCCGAGGAGCATTTTATCCGGGCCGAGAACAAAGAAATCATTAATGGGTAAGTCGCTGCACAAGACTGTATAGGATTGTTTTCTATCTGTCTTGGGTTTGCTTGTCTCTGTACTTCTCCAGCAGCCATACTAGCTCTTCCTGCCTTGCTGACCTACTAATGCCTGTCAGATGTTGACCAAGCACATATCATTGCCTTTAAAGTATATGGCAACAGTAAATTTCTCTTATTTGCTTCCTTTTGATCTGGTAAATTTACCATTGAGGCCTGGTTCGCACTGATGCAATCTGGGAAACGCACAGGAATCGCTGTGTTTTCCGCATCAAACCGCATAGCAATCGCACTGTGTTTATCCAATCTGCTGCCGGTGTCAATCTCAAGTTAAAGACACCCCGAAAGCAGGACGCAGAACACAGTGTGGTAAAAAAAAGTGCCTGCAGCTATGGTGGACGGATGCGATGCAGTTTGATCCATACAAAATGATGAGCTCAAATCTCACCGCACAGAATTGCATGTGATTTACACGGGAATGCAGTGCGATTCTTGTGCGAATCTGTGAACTGGGTCTGTAAGTGTTTTATTTTATCTGATCAACCTGTGCAAACAAATCCAGCCAGAAATCTTGTGAGCTGATAACTTGCTGTACTGTCTGCCTCTGGGCTGTAACTAGGTCTGCTTTTTCACCTCCTCCTTCCCTCCTCTACTACTTTTGGACCATTTTATTTTATTTTTTTGGGGTGGGAGAGGGCACCTAGTTTTGGTTGATACCCCCTTCCACTTCCATCCAAACTGCCTAACCAAGTGACGGCGAACATTTTAGAGACCGAGTGCCCGAACTGCAACCCAAAGCCCACTTATTTATCCCAAAGTGCCGACACTGCAATTAAACCTGAATACTGAAGTTTTAGTTTAGAAAAAAAACAACTCGTACATTAACATATTTTGTCTTCAAAGAAAAACGCAATAACAGAGTTTCCACTGACCACCAGCACAAGGGGGCAAAGTTCCACTGACCACCAGCACAAGGGGGCAAAGTTCCACTGACCACCAGCACAAGGGGGCAAGGTTCAACTGACCACCTGCACAAGGGGGCAAGGTTCAACTGACCACCTGCACAAGGGGGCAAGGTTCAACTGACCACCTGCACAAGGGGGCAAGGTTCAACTGACCACCTGCACAAGGGGGCAAGGTTCAACTGACCACCTGCACAAGGGGGCAAGGTTCAACTGACCACCTGCACAAGAGGGAAAAGTTACACTGACCACCAGCACAAGGGGGCAAAGTTCCACTGACCACCAGCACAAGGGGGCAAAGTTCCACTGACCACCAGCACAAGGGGGCAAAGTTCCACTGACCACCAGCACAAGGGGGCAAAGTTCCACTGACCACCAGCACAAGGGGGCAAAGTTCCACTGACCACAAGCACAAGGGGGCAAAGTTCCACTGACCACCAGCACAAGGGGGCAAAGTTCCACTGACCACCAGCACAAGGGGGCAAAGTTCCACTGACCACCAGCACAAGGGGGCAAAGTTCCACTGACCACCAGCACAAGGGGGCAAAGTTCCACTGACCGCCAGCACAAGGGGGCAAAGTTCCACTGACCACCAGCACAAGGGGGCAAAGTTCCACTGACCGCCAGCACAAGGGGGCAAAGTTCCACTGACCGCCTGCACAAGGGGGGCAAGGTTCAACTGACTGCCTGCACAAGGGGGTCAAGGTTCCACTGACCGCCTGCACAAGGGGGCAAAGTTCCACTGACCGCCTGCACAAGGGGGCAAAGTTCCACTGACCGCCAGCACAAGGGGGCAAAGTTCCACTGACCGCCAGCACAAGGGGGCAAAGTTCCACTGACCGCCAGCACAAGGGGCCAAAGTTCCACTGACCGCCAGCACAAGGGGGCAAAGTTCCACTGACCGCCAGCACAAGGGGGCAAAGTTCAACTGACCGCCAGCACAAGGGGGCAAAATCTTGTGTTAGTAAAACATATTTATTAAAACTCACAGCCAGTCCAATATATATATCCTTGGCAGTGTACTAACCAGCCATGCAAAACCTCCGATGAGTCGCGGCTCGTGAGGTCTTCGCCTGGTGTCGCCACTCCTTTCTGAGCATGCGTATGGCCCCTATGTGCTGGAGCGACTTGGCTCGTGTGCCGACAGAGAGGGTTCTGCGTGCCCACTGCTGCACATGTGCCTTAGGTTCACCACCACTGGCCTAGGTGATCCACCTTAGAAGTTCGGCCACCCCTTTTTACCCGCAGCCTTTTATGACCTGTGACATGTGCTATTTACAAAATGCAGTGTGGCTTGTGCATGTGCAGTGGGAAGCTGCAAGGAATCACAGCCTACTTCCAATAGTAAACCTACCGGGGCCCGGGACCCAAAGACAGGTGAAGAACCTACCTAGGTGGCGACGGTGCTGGATCCCTGGACAGGTAAGTGTTCTTTTGTAATAAATGTCAGCAGCTACAGTATTGGTAGCTGCTGACTTTTAATTTTTGGCAGGGGAAGATGAAGCTCCTCTTTAATCTGGTATCGTTGTGGACTACATAACACCTCACCATGTTATAGAGAAGATAGGGAGGTGCTATGTAGTCCTTCACCCAGTGTTATGTGGTCTTAGCACACTCTGGTTTTATGATAACAGTGCTGCTCAGTACAGTTATCACCCTAGGGCAGGATATGTGTTAAGAGTAGAATCACCAGTTTATAATAAAAAGGAAAAAGGTGTGTTAAAAAAAGAAAAGTAATGCGGCCACCACATCTAAGGACTGGTAAGCTGCAGTACTATCAACATTTGTTGTAGGATTTAGATATGCTTTAAAGATTATGTAAACCCAATGAGTATCAATCTGACACCCAATATGACAGGCAACTCGCCTTTTCAGCAGAAACGTTCAGCAGCAGGCAGCCGCTATAGTTTTCTCTTGACAGGTGCCCTTTAAGAAGCCCAGAAGCAGCAAATGCAGGTGTGTAAGATCTGGCCCAACCTGAACCCAGGAGCCGACATCCTACAATAGGGACATTGTACCTGCTGCTTTGTTCCCGGGAGACACCCAGAGAGATTATAAGCCGTTGTGACAGCCGGCCCGGGCGGCAGCTTCTAACATATTCCTCCATCTGTATTTTGTATTGACATTTTGTCCTCACTTTATGCAATCTTCAGCGTGCCTGGGTAGTTTTTTTTTTTTTTGCTTAAAATTTCCCTTTTCATGTTTCCTGTCTCCGTCTCCATTTCATCTGTGAAGAAAGGTTCCTTTGATCCTTCTTAAAGGAAAACTGTCATCCTTTTACAGGTTTATTTTATAGTGGATTATCTAATCAGTCAGTGCTAATGCTTCAAAAGCCGTTTCTGGGTATAGCTGGACACTGCGCACACGTACGGGTATAGCTGGACACTGCGCACACGTACGGGGTATAGCTGGACACTGCGCACACGTACAGGGTATAGCTGGACACTGCGCACACGTACAGGGTATAGCTGGACACTGCGCACACATACGGGGTATAGCTGGACACTGCGCACACATACGGGGTATAGCTGGACACTGCGCACACGTACGGGGTATAGCTGGACACTGCGCACACGTACGGGGTATAGCTGGACACTGCGCGCACGCGTACGGGGTATAGCTGGACACTGCGCACACGTACAGGGTATAGCTGGACACTGCGCACACGTACAGGGTATAGCTGGACACTGCGCACACGTACAGGGTATAGCTGGACAACTGCGCACACGTACGGGGTATAGCTGGACACTGCGCACGCGTACGGGGTAAAGCTGAACACTGCATACACGTACGGGGTATAGCTGGACACTGCACACACGTATGGGGTATAGCTGGACACTGCGCACACATACGGGGTATAGCTGGACACTGCGCACACATTTGGGGTATAGCTGGACACTGCGCACACATACAGGGTATAGCTGGACACTGCGCACACACGTACGGGTATAACTGGACACTGCGCACACGTACGGGGTATAGCTGGACACTGCGCACACACGTACGGGGTATAGCTGGACACTGCGCACACACGTACGGGGTATAGCTGGACACTGCGCACACACGTACGGGGTATAGCTGGACACTGCGCACCCACGTACGGGGTATAGCTGGACACTGCGCACACACGTACGGGGTATAGCTGGACACTGCGCACGCGTACGGGGTATAGCTGGACACTGCGCACACGCGTACGGGTATAGCTGGACACTGCGCACTCGCGTACGGGGTATAGCTGGACACTGCGCACGCGTACGGGGTATAGCTGGACACTGCGCACAGCGCGTACGGGGTATAGCTGGACACTGCGCACACATACGGGGTATAGCTGGACACTGCGCACACATTTGGGGTATAGCTGGACACTGCGCACACATACAGGGTATAGCTGGACACTGCGCACACGTACGGGGTATAACTGGACACTGCGCACACGTACGGGGTATAGCTGGACACTGCGCACACACGTACGGGGTATAGCTGGACACTGCGCACAACACACGTACGGGGTATAGCTGGACACTGCGCACACACGTACGGGGTATAGCTGGACACTGCGCACCCACGTACGGGGTATAGCTGGACACTGCGCACACACGTACGGGGTATAGCTGGACACTGCGCACGCGTACGGGGTATAGCTGGACACAACGCGTACGGGGTATAGCTGGACACTGCGCACGCGTACGGGGTATAGCTGGACACTGCGCACGCGTACGGGGTATAGCTGGACACTGCGCACGCGTACGGGGTATAGCTGGACACTGCGCACGTCGTACGGGGTATAGCTGGACACTGCGCACTGGCACTGCGTACGGGGTATAGCTGGACACTGCGCACGTACGGGGTATAGCTGGACACGGGGTACGGGGTATAGCTGGACACTGCGCACGCGTACGGGGTAGCCATGGTTTGCCATGACTGTGGGCAGCCTCTGCTTGCTTTTAAGTAGTGCTGCACAGTGATTGTGCTTTATTGTTCCTCGTCAACCTGACCTGATTCTAAACCTCCACAAATGATCCGCTTCAGCTCCTCACATCTCTGTATACCCCTATGGACCAGAACAATTCTTGCCTCCTCCCTCCTCCTCCCCCCCCCCCCCCCTCCTCCTCTCCCCCCCCCCCTCTCTCCCCCCCCTCCTCCTCCTCCTCCTCCCTCCTGTATTCCAGGAGGCCGGCATCTTCAGTGTGGGCACCCGGCTGTGACAGCTTGTGGCTTCACAGCCGGGTACCCACTGCACATGTGCGAGTAGCGCTGCGCTTCATGAATGGTCCTGTAGTCTTCTGGGACCTGTCACATGTCCCAAGAGACTACAGGAAGGGAGGGGGGAGGACACTTTCCGCTTCCAATCGCCTAGGCGATCGGACCAGAAGTGGGAGCGGGTACCTGTCAAATTCGGGTACCCGCTCCCCCCAAAGGTGCCAATCCTTAATGGGGAGCGGGGGAGCAGTCCTTAAAGCGGAACTTCCCCTTTTGGGTGGAGCTCCGCTTTAACAATGAGTTCGCTGTAGTGCATCATTTTTGCAAAAATCTGTTCTTCATCAATGTGTTGGAGGGGCCAGTCCAGGTGTATCCAACCAGCTCTGACAAACTGCTTTAAGGTTAATAAGGAGATAAATCAGAGAACATTACAAAAAAAAATAGTTTTTTTTTTGTTTTTTTTTTAATTTGTCAGGTTGCGTTGTGACATCACATGCTGATGGAATCTCATCCTTTTGATCTGCAGATGACTAAAACAAAGTAGATTATTTTATATTAAATAGAAAGGATGGGACTTTCAGGGTGCATGAACATGAATACCAAACATAATAAAAAGATATATTATTATTATACAGTATATAGCGCCAACAGTTTGCCCAGCGCTGTACATTATAATGGGAGACAATACATGAGACAGTACAGTAACAATACAATACATGAGGGGTTCGAGGGCCCTGCTCCTTGGAGCTTACAATCTAGGAGGGAGGGGATATATATAAAATTTTATTTCATATTTTTAAAACAAAGCAAGAAATACAGAAACATAAAAACAATTTCAGTACCAAGTGTGGAACCGAAATTCGAACTTGATTATATAATTGTAGTTACTCCCTACATGTTTCGCCCTCACAGGCTTCTTCAGGAGATATTTGTGAAGAGATTTCAACCACCGAGGCAATCTAAAAGTATATAAGAAAATTATACAGTTACCAAACAACTTTAATGTATCCAATGCAGTCAGTGTATCAATCAAATATATAGGAGATTATTTGTCTATCTCAGGTCTTTTTTTTTTTTTCTTCTTTTCTTTTTTACAGCTGCTGTATTTACATAGCAACTCTCGGCTGTCATTTTGACAGGTGAGATTTGCTTGCAAGTGTGAGGTGGGGAGCTGCAGAAGGACAGGACTTTCTACAGATTTGCAGTTTTTTTTTTGGATGTGTTGTTCGTCCGATGTCCACAATTGGTTAAGCATCTCAGGAGTCAATAAAGTGAATCTGTAATTTGCCCGTGCACACAACAGATTCGCTTCAGTTGCAGCTCTACCAACTACACACACATAGTTTCTTTTCCTTCTTCTTTCCTCAGCAACTCCTTTCAGAATCTGGGAGCAAAAAAGAACTCACCCTGTGTAAGCGCCAAATTGGCCCAAATAAATGATTTCCATTAAATAACTCTCCGACTGCTGTGTGTTCTGTGATATACTGTAGTTGCATTGGCTGCATACAGTAAGCGGCGATGGGTTTCCGGCAGTAGAAGCGACTTTCTGTCTGTTGCCAGAGAACTATAGTTGGGCTGAACTCTTCTCTGCCGTTCAGGAGAAACCTTGTATTTTTATTAGTGAATACAAATAGGGATACACTGAAATTTCGGTGGCCAAAATGTTTTCGGCCAAAAACACCCCTTTCGGCCATTGGCCGAAATGAAAAGAAAGCACCGATACAGATGGCGAAAAAACCCTGCCACTCACCGCTGCCGCCACCGCCACCGCCGCCGCTCGGTAGTTCTGAGCCTTACCTGAGAAACCATCAATTCCAGCGCTGGGCATAGAGATGAGTGAAGGAAAGATGGCCACCAGTCATCTCTATGCCCTTGGAGGACCGGAGCGATGTCACTACTTCCGGTTCCAGCCATTTTTTTTTTAAATCTTTAAAGCACTAGATCAATGCTTTTTTATCCAATGCTTTACATTGCAGAGGAGAGATGTGGGGTCCTATTGAAAAATGTACAAGAGAATTGTGTAATGTATGCCCAGCCTGTCGCTCCAAACCCCTTCCATTTCCCCCTTGTGCCCATCTGTCTTGCCCTGACTCCCTGTGAGTTCTGTTCTCTCCACTCCAGTACTTGTATATGAAATGCTTCACGACTTGTTATATAAACTCTGCACAGCTCTCTTTCCACGCTCCAATGTTCCTGTATAAATTTCCTTAACGTTCCCCTCTTCCTAACACTCAAAACTGCCCGCGATTCACGGAGGTCATTCAAAAGGCAGCACATGGTCTCAGTTAATCAATTGTATTTTCCTAAAGCAGAGTAATATTGCACAAAATATTTGTAATGTGAACCTTTTATTCTTCTATACAATGGGGGAGGATTAGAACTGCTGGCGACATGCCTTCTATTCTTGCCTATATTTATTATGTTGAGGGCTAATATTTTGTTTTACTTTTTGATGCAAGTAAATATGAAATGCTGCATAGGTTTAATTTTCTGTTTATTATACTTACCAGGCTAATCTTAACTGCTCTGATGAAAATATTCCTTTCTCTCTCTCTCTCTCCTCTCTTTCTCTGTCTCTCAATTTATCCCTCTCTCTATATATCCCTCTCAATTTATCTCTCTATTTATCCCTCTCAATTTATCTCTCTATTATTTCTCTCCCCCCTCTCCTCCCCCCCCTTCCCCCCCCCCCCCCCCCCTCCCCCCCTCTCCCTCCCCCCCCCCTCTCCCCCCCCTCCCCCCCCCCCCTCCTCCCCCCCCCCCCCCTCTCCCCCCCTCTCCCTCCCCCCTCTCCCCCCCCCTCCCCCCCCCCTCTCCCCCCCCTCCCCCCCCCCCCCCCCCCCTCCTCCCCCCCCCTCTCTCCCCCCCCTCCCCCCCCCCCCACCTTCCCCCCCCCTCTCCCCCCCCTCTCCCCCCCCTCTCCCCCCCCCCTCCCCCCCCTCTCCCCCCCCCCCCCCCCCTCCCCTCTTCCTCCCCCCCCCCCTCCCCCCTCTTCCTCCCCCCTCTCTCCCCCCCCCTCCCCCCCTCCTCTCCCCCCCTCTCTCCCCCCCTCTCTCTCCCCCCTCTCTCCCCCCCCCTCTCTCTCCCCCCTCTTTCCCTCTCCCCCCCCCCTCTCCCCCCCCCCTTCCCTCCCCCCCTCTCCCCCCCCTCTTCCCCCCCCCTCTCCCCCCCTTCCCCCCCTCTCTCCCCCCCCTCTTCCCCCCTCTCTCCCCCCCCTCTTCTCCCCCCTCTCTCTCCCCTTCTCCCCCCCTCTCTCCTCTCCATCCCCCCTCTCTCCCCCCCCTCTCTCCCCCCTCTCTCTCTCCCCCTCTGCCCCCCCCCTCCCCCCTCCCCCCTGTCCCCCCCCTCTCTCCCCCTCTGTCCCCCCCTCTCTCTCCCCCTCTGTCCCCCCTCTTCCTCCCCCCTCTGTCCCCCCCCCTCTTCCCCCTCTGTCCCCCCCTCTCTCCCCCTCTGTCCCCCCCTCTCTCCCCCCCTCTCGCGCCCCCCTCTCTCCCCTCCCCGTCTCTCTCCCCCCCGTCTCAATATTTTCTCTCTCAATATTCTCTATCTCTCTCGATATTTTCTCTCCCTCTCTCGATATTTTCTCTCTCCCTCTCTCGATATTTTTCTCTCTCCCTCTCTCGATATTTTCTCTCTCCCTCTCGATATTTTCTCTCTCCCTCTCTCGATATTTTCTCTCTCCCTCTCTCGATATTTTCTCTCTCCCTCTCTCGATATTTTCTCTCTCCCTCTCTCGATATTTTCTCTCTCCCTCTCTCGATATTTTCTCTCTCCCTCTCTCGATATTTTTCTCTCTCCCTCTCTCGATATTTTTCTCTCTCCCTCTCTCGATATTTTCCCTCTCCCTCTCTCGATATTTTCCCTCTCCCTCTCTCGATATTTTCTCTCTCCCTCTCTCGATATTTTCTCTCTCCCTCTCTCGATATATTCTTTTGTCCTCATGCATGCTGGGAGTTTACTCAGCTCTTCTAAACACCTTTCAAAAATCACCTAAAGCTGAATTAATGTAAATGTGTTTGTATGTCAATTAATAATAATTTTTTGTAATTTTTCTTTGACACGTTATACAACCCTAAGGGGCTGGACTTTACGGTGTCGCTTCCACAAAATGGTGATAAAACTGGGTATAATGGTTAACTCTGATCCTCAGTAATATGCACATTACTGGTGGTGATGGCTTTCTTTTTTGGGATACCCGGCAAATAAACTGTCGGTTCATTCTATTCAGTCGCACTCCTTAAACCGTTGAGGAATAGAAAACTACTGTTGTAAGATGCAGTCTGTACTTGCGGTTGAGGATGCGAGGAAAGGCCACTTAGTCCCTCTGCCACCATTTTGGCATTACTACTACATGTCCAAATCAGGTGGCTCTTCGACTTAGGTCACTGTTGCCATGATGAATTTTCCAGCAGCAGGCCCTGAAACAGTTCATACTGTATGGTAGCATTGTGTGTCATTGTGAAAAATCTCATTTGTGGTTTTTCTTTTTTTCCCTCCTTCTCACAGTTGGTTGGAGATGTTGATTGTGTACCCAAAGACCAACAAGCAGAATCAGAAGAAGAAGAGGAAAGTGGAGCCCCCTACTCCGCAGGTAAAGGTGTCATTTACTTTTTCTTTTTTGCAGGTGACGGGCTGCCTGCAGGTGCAAGAAATGGTGGGCAGGCTTTATTTTAGGAATGCTGCGTTTTGCATTTGAACGCAGTGCTGCACATATGTATGTGAATGAAGGCAAAACACAGAAGGGCTGAGTTTACCTGCGACTCCAAATGGTCATCCACAATAGTCACTGCTTTTCCTGTAACACGAATCTCAAAAGGAACCGGGGTCGCGCTGCACAGCGATCCATGGTGAACTGTGTCCCTCGGACACAGCGCATCACCAATCTGGGTAAAGAGCCAACAACGATGACTCTTTACCATGTGATCAGCTGTGTCCAATCACATGTAAAAAAAATGCCGGTTATCGGCATTTCCTTTTCTCAGCGTTGTCACTGTCTGAGGAAAGGAAAGCCAATAACCTGCTTTCCTGTGATGGGGGACATTTACACTGATAATCAGAGCACTGCTCATCAGTGCCCTGATTATTTATTTCAGGTACTTATATAGCGCCATCAATTTACACAGCGCTTTACATATATATTGTACATTCACATCACTCCCTAACCCTCAAGGGGCGTACAATCTAAGGTCCCTAACTCACATTCATATACAAGGGCCAATTTAGACAGGATCCAATTAACCTACCAGCATGTCTTTTGGATTGTGGGAGGAAACCGGAGTACCCGGAGGAAACCCACGCAGGCACAGGGAGAACATGAAAACTCCAGGCAGGAGGTGCTGTATTTGGGATTCGAACCAACAACCCTAGTAGTGCCAGGCGGAAGTGCTAACCATTTAGCCACTGTGCTGCCCATCATTACAGCCCCATCAGTGCTCTTCAGTGCAGCCTCATTAGTGCAGACTCATCAGTGCACATTGGTGAAGAAGAAAATTTACTTATTTGCAAAATGTTTTAACAGAAATGAAGAAAAAAGTAAAAAAAAAAAAAAATCAGACTTTTTTGTTTAACAAAAAATACATTATCAAAAAATGATAAAAGTTTAATTTGGGTACAGTGTTGCATGACTGTGCAATTGTCATTCAAAGTGCAACAGCGCTGAAAACTGGCCTGAGCAGGAAGGGGATAATAGTTCCCAGTAGGCAAGTGGTTAAAGCAAAGGGCAGAATGGCCACTAAAGTGCACTGCAAATGCACAGCGTAAGCCCATTTAAGTGCATTTTGCTCCTGATGTCACTGTACTGTATGTAAATGTTTGTGAATGTTCAGCAGACTGTGAAAGTTTTATAAATAAGTTAAATATAGGTAAAGATAGGGAAAAGTATTGGGCTGTAACATGCTTTTTGAGTCTTGTCTGCTCAGATGTAGGTTCTGTGTTCGTGGGGAGATGACATTTTCTTTTTACGTACAGAGGATTGCCTTCTTGAAATTAGAGTATTCAGATATATTCGTAAAAATCCCAAAAAAGAAAAAAATAGGAGCCCAAAAAAATGAATACTTTTATGTCTCCATCTATATATCTAGAACCACTGGTTCGTAGCTCCGAAAAAGGCAAGCAAAGGAGTTTGGAGACCACTGCTGTAGAATTTAACCATGTGGCAAGTTCTTGCATGTCTCGGAATATTGGGAGAGATATCTCTTGAATTGCCATGGCTGGTTTAATTTATATTATGGAGGATGTACAGTGAAGGAAATAAGTATTTGATCCCCTGCTGATTTTGAATGTTTGCCCACTCAGTGTTACGATACACCTACCATTCGATTTTTAGACCGATCATTTCTTTGTGAGCGGGTAAACATTCAAAATTGGCCGGGGTTCAAATACTTATTTCCTGCACTGTAGGGGAGGAAATACACAAAGGTGGTCAAAAGCAGTCAAAACTCTCAGGCTGACAGGAGCAGAGTCAAGAAATTTGGCAGGGAGATCTTATTGCTGAAGTATTCAAGACATATAGGAAGCTGGGGGCTAACTCACCCAGTACTACCTACTAAACATGACTTTTACTAGACTGGTCCTTTAAAAAGAAGAGTGACCCCTTTTGTTTTTTTTTTGGGGGGGTTTAATGTTTTTGTTATTAAAGTGCTTCACTTTAAGAAGGCAATGCTGTAGATAAGAGCATTCCTGCCAGGGGTTCCTTTTGGGCCTTCACTATACCATGGCTGGTTAGAACTCCCCTTTCTTTGAGCTGCTCTCGGCACATCTCGGTGAGAGCATTAACCCATCAGTGGAGGAAATCAACAGATCTTAACTAAAAATTGAGAAAACAGGGAGGTATAAGGTATTAAACAGGGACCTGGGCCTCATCGCTTCTCCCTGATAACGTGGGTGAAATTCCATCTTCCCCCCCACAGTAGAAAATGATGTCAGAGGGTCTCTGTGTCCAGCCTTAGGCTCATACTATAAATGGTAATAGACAGCCGTCTCTCTGACTCACCCTATCCGACTCCCTCGAGTTGCGTGGGATCCCTCAGCTCAAGCGCCACTTTGCTTACGTTTCTGGGGAGATATGTGCCACCAAGTGCTAGTGACATTTAGATAAGATGCCAAGGCTGGCAAAGAAACAGCGATGAATTATAGAGGACAGCACTGCCCCAACTAGCTGTCTGCCTGAGAATTGAGTGTGGGCTACAAAAATATGGCTGCCTTATGATGACAATATTGATGCCATGTCCTTGCCAAATTACTGCAGCTTTACTGTTTTCCGCAGCAGTTCATTGATCATCTGCATGAGAAGGAAGCTGTCTGAGCTCGGGGGACAAATTAATACAGCATTCAGGAGCCATCTAAGCTAGGCGGAAGTAGACCTTTTCCGGGCACTGCTGCCCTTAAATAAATGAATCATTGACTGATGACAAAACGAGAAACAAAATGAGCAACACTTGACTCCTAGTTCTCCCTGTTGTCTGGTAGAGGGAGGTCAGTGGCCTGCTTTACGGCCTATATCCGCTACTAGTTCTAGAATCTAGAAGACTTGCCCAACAGCAGATTTTCAGGAACCACAAGAATAAAAATGCCCAAAGATGGGAGGAGTGGTGGACATAATGATAAACCACCACCCCCTGTTCCTGTAGCTGTTTTATCAATCTTGTTTAATTTCTTTTCTACTGTAATCTGTAGATAAATGTTCCTCAACCCAAAATCCCATACTGTGGGAATGTTGGCATGCGCCTAGCTTTAGGATTGTGCTGTCATTGACAGCTCTTGGCCTCTACTATTGATCGTAAATTGATCAGCATAGCCTGATCATGTGATTACCATGGCCGCTTTGACGTAGTGATCACATGGCTTTGCTTGTAAACCACTGTCAGTGATGTTGACAGCTGCCAATGTATCTCTTGTGGTGATTAGAAAACAGTACATTGTTTTCTTTATCATACATCACAGATACAGAGTATCTTCATTTCAATTATGATAGGGTTATTCTGACACTTTCAGATGATTGGACACTGGTAATAAAAAAAAAAAAAGAAAGCAAATCCCATTGTAGGCATAATCCCTCCCCGATTGGCAGTTAGCTTCTCAATGATTCCTTCTGCGATTAGAAGACTTGCTTATTTGGATCTCTTCCCTATGGCTTTCGATGCTCAGAGGAGTGATACCTGGACCCTGCACTCAAAACGCAAAGACAGCCAGTAAGGTTGCCAGTCTGCATTGAGTCCTCCACAGTGATGTACTGCCTTGCGGACCAGTACGGTGCTACACAGGTCTAGAGCAGTGATCCCCATCTGGTGAGCCGTGTCCCTGAAGGCCTTTAGTGGCAAAGCCTACCATGAGAGGTAAAGATTGGACCACCTGGGAGGTCTTGTAGCTTTGACTGGTGATTGCCCTGGGATAGTTTGCCCCCCCCTCAACCTACATGTTGTAGCAATACCTTGGTTGCACATGGAAGCGTTCCCCTTTTCCTTTCCTCTCATTAGTAACAGAGGAGGAACCAGTGGAGGATGAGGTAGAAGAAGAAGAGAATGTTCCATTAGAAGAGGGTGCTGAAGACTCCTTTTCTGAGGAATCAACTCCTGAAGAGGAATTAATCTGTAATCCAAAAAGTCTGAGTTTTATTGTGTAAATTGTTTGAACTAATTTAAAGTTACCACTTCTCGAGTCTGGGTGATTTTCCAAGCTATCAACAACCATCTCTGGGGGAGTGGGCTCTTCACCTAGAGGTATTTGAGAAACTCTGATGTGTCCAGGTTCAATGTGAAACTTGACAGGTTCATTTCAGAACAAGGGATCCTGCAGCGTGCGTGGTGGTTCTTTGGTGGCACTGTGGGACCAGATCTTCCTAATTTACGCCTTCCCACCCTAAGGGCTCGTTCACACTTGGCTGTTTTGCCAACGCTTGCCAAACGCCCCTATAGCGTTTGGCAAGCGTTGGTCCGGCGTTTGCAGAGCGTTTTTTAACGCTCGGCAATCGCTCCAAACGCCGCATGCGCGGTTTAGCGGCGGTTGCTAGGTGTTTGCCGAGCGTTAATAACGCCCCACAAACGCCTAATGCAGTTTGAGTGGTGTTACCGCTCCGCAACCGCGTGCCGGGCGTTTGCGGAGCGGCACCATAGACGAGAATAGGAGGCTTCAAAGCCTCCTGACTTCCAGAGGCTCCGTTTTGCCGCACGCAACGCGGCTCCCGTTAGAACAGCACCCATGTGCAGAATTGGCAGAGGCGTTTGGGAAGCGGTAAAAACGCTTCACAAACGCCTCTCTGCCGCCTGCACACAAGGCTAGTGTGAACGTAGCCTAACAGCTGCTATCTTGTCTGCCTTGAAATTCCATGATTCTGATCCCCCTTGCCCAGCCCAGGAGAACTTGGTTCTCTGATGTTGTGAACATATTGGCAGACATCAATGGGAATCTTCCAAATTGACCCAACCGTCTATCACAAGGTCAAGTCTTCCATCCTTCTTTACAAATGCTGGCTTTAACAGCAAGGCTGTTGAAGCCAGGGTCTTGAGAGAAGGGGAAGTCTCTGATTCAGTCATACCTACCATACTGAAGGCTCAGAATGCAACTTCCAAAGACGATTTACCACCAAGCTTGGAA